AGTATGTGACTCTGTTGTCATTTCCAGCATCAAAAAGATGCTTGTTTTATTGATCTGTATTATTTCCTTTTCTCCAAGTGGTTTCAATTTCACAAAGGAAGTTTCAAGTAGTTACCCAATAATGTTTTTCAGTTGATTGTCTTCTCATATTGCTGACTCTTGACCTCCTACTTCAATAGTTTGCTAACTTAGAAATTTGTCAGCTGATCTGTCTGCAGAATGTGTTGTTGGTTATTTTTTACTGAGCCGAGCCAGCAAGATGATTTTTATAAAAACAGTGACAGACACTTCACAATGTAATCACAACTTCTCAGCCCACCCTTTGTCAATGTATCCATCTACAACTATGATTAGCAACTATTGTACAGTTGTTAATTTATCCTCAGCTAACACCAATATTATACTGCAAAAGTTTTACTTTCTTTAGTCAGTGATACAGAAACTGCAGTCTCAACATCTGATAATTGTAAAACCGTGCAACTATATAGACTGAATACCAGTTAGAAAACTCCTAAGTTTCCTAGAAGAGGTCAAGCACCCACCTTACCCTTGAGCATTAGAATTGGAGAATAAGACCCTGGAGTTTTCAAGTGGACAGTAGAATGAGAACCAATAATGTGAGTCCGTTTCAGAGATACTCTGTATAAACTCAAGCCTGGTATGAACGTCTTATTATCTAGTTCCTTATTTTATTGTTGCATTATCAACCTCTATAACAAAGGGTCATGAATAATGCAATACATCAAAAAAAGATTGTATAGATGATGAGATGTAAACTATGTGAGGAAACAGGTTATAAGGATGCCCTTAAAATATATATGCTGGTTTAGAATTTCATCACATTGTAATTAATGTTAAATAAGCAAACCAATAAACCTATGTTTAAAATCAACCAAGAATTTAGAGACTCTGGATTGAAGAAAGCCACTCAAATAACAAGACTTTGTAATGAATTTTATCACTAATGTTATGTCTTTATAATTAAAACAATGGGGATGAAACTGTGAAAGAAAATTAGTATCCATCTCTCACATCTCATTATAGTTGAGACTAACTCTAGACCATTTTCTCAAATACGAATTAATCTAAGAATTAATATGGAATTTTTGTGGGTAATCATGTTGCTTTTATCCCCCCACTAAAATTTATGAACTGTACTATACACAGTACAGAGACATAAATATCACCTGAAAAATTATATTTTTAAGTTATGAATACAGTCCAAAATAAATAAGGTAAAAATACTTAATCGTAATGTCAATAAGTATCACTAAAATTATAATCTGATATCTATCACTGAAATTTTAAAATAGTCTATTAATTTGGTTTCAGTTGTTGTGATTTAAGCTAATAGAATCCATATGCTTAGCATACAATGCTTCTTATTATCACATGTTTCTGTAAAAATTAGGATTCAAACTAAATGCTAATATTTTAAATATATTTATGTCACACACACACACACACACACACACACACACACACACTAGCTTCTGGGACACAAGCAGGCAAACAGTAAAAATGTGGGTTATTCCTATTTTTATTAAAAGTATCACCTTTTCTGAATATTAAACTGATGCTTCCTGACAAAGTGACCTCTTAACAATAGTGGAGAGGGTATCTGAATAGGCCTTCCCCTTTAATCAGATAAGTGACTAAGCTAACATTTTTCAAGCTTGTGAAATCGAGACATAGCTTCTTTTTCACCTGCTAATATAACATGTGTATGTGTGTGTGTACCTGTATCCAGTAACTGATGGAAACAGATGTAGTGACCCACAGCCAAAACTGGGCTGAGCTCTGGGAGTTCGGTTGAAGAGAAGGAGGAGAGAGCTTATGAACAAGGAGAATCAAGAGCATGATGCAGAATAATACAGAAACAGCTGACCTATGTAAGTGGGATTTCACAGACTATGGACAGATAGCTAGGGAACCTGCATGGGACCAAAGTCGCCCTTCTGTTTGTGGGTAACAGTTGTGTGGCTTGATACATTGTGGGTACCGCTGGCAGTGGGATCAGAACCTATTCCAGGTGCATGAATAGCTTTTTGGAGCACATTCATTATGGTGGGAAATCTTGCTCATCCTTGATAGTGGTGGAAGGGGCTTGGTCCTAAGTCATCTTGGTATGCCAGACTTAGTTCACTTCTTAAGGATGGCTTTACCTCCTCTGAGGAGTGGATGAGGGGTAGGAACGGGGTAGGAAGGGTAGAAAAATGCGAGGAAGTGGGGCTGGGGTTGGTATGAAAAATGAAATATGATTTTTAAATAAATATTCTATTATTTTAGTGTAATTTTATTACTGTATAATTTAAAGTTGATTAATTTTTTGACATTAGTCTGAATTAACATTTTTCAAACTTGTGAAATTGAGACATAGCTTCTTTTTCACCAACTAATATAACATGTGTAGGTGTGTGTGTATACATATATACATAGGTATAGAAGATTTATATAGTTGTGAACACACACATGCTGTCTCATAGACTTTTGTAATTATAGATACAAATGCATGCATTTCAGTGAGCAATTAAATCTAATATATTTGCATTTTAATATATATTCTTGTGTTTGTGCATTATTATGAATTTCAGCTCTAATTATTTTCTCATGAATTTGTGCTTATTATGTGAATAACAGTTTGAGTGTTGTAAAAGATTTGCTTATTTTCATTTTTGAGTGTTTGTCTACACGTACTTCTTACATGCAGTGTTCACTGGGTGACCTAGATTTGGAGTTACAAAAGGCTATGAGCCAGCATGTGGGTGCTGTGCAGGAGAAACAATTCTCTTAACAGCTATGACTTGAGTCTCAGTTCTCTGTCTTTTAAGCAGTCCTTTAAAAGAAAAGGGATATAAGTAAATAAATGGCTTCATTAAGAACAAATTAGAGAAGTAAATTTCAATGTGGTCTTTTAAAGAGTTAAGAGAAAATAAAGATAGATTCATCAAAATCAGACAACTGACCAATGTTTGCATCATATTACACAATCAGTACTTCAATACTAGTTTTGCAACATATTTGAAGTTATGCTCAGAACTATCAATAGTGCATATTTTATACATTTCATCATTCTTCATGTAAGATTACCTCTAAAGGTTTATCAGTCACTTTGATTATATCTAATATTTTTGGCCTTGAAATGTGGTCTATAAGTATAATCAGACAAATTTTGATTTTGAAGCAAACAGTAAACAGCATGATACTAAGAAGATCCAAGGAAATGATTCAGAAGCATCAAAGAGAAGTCATTTACTTTTCATGTGTGGAGGAGAAGCTCGAACTATTCAAAGTTTGCTTCAACCAATATTTGGCAAGTTAAGAATGGTGTGCTGATGTCTGCAGACTTCAGTTACATTTACTGCTCACATGTAGAGATCTTAAAGCTCTGAACCAGTTTAAAAGATACCAGGTTATAAATTATAAATTGGGTTAGATACCTTTTGGAGTATTGCATCTTACAAATTTCTGAAACAATGATTGTTTGCTGTTTTCTGCAGTCTAATGCTTCTCTCAGAGAGACTCTTGGTTAAAATGTCTGTAAAATTCTTCCTTTTCCTTCCAGATTTATGTTTATGTTAAGTAGCTGCTGTGCATAAAATTATTATGCTTGCTACCTGAGGACAGTGGTTAGGTACCTCTACTATTTGATGTAACGTTTTAAAGCCCACAACTATTGCTTGTATAATTTTATTATGAGAAACATTTAAAGTATACTTTAAGTATTGTCTTTTCTGAGGTTCTGCCTTCCCACTGTAACAGTTTAAAAGGCAAAGGTAGAGAATGATACATTTGACTTCTCAAGGGTTCAATGCAAATTAATGAAAATTTCTTGGCTACATACCCATCCTGTTTGTTCAATTCAAGTCATAAATAAATTATCGTCATCATAATGATTTATAGAAAAATTTTAAGTTGATTCTGTAAGCTTACTTTAAAGATTTCCCTCACCCTTGGGTAACATAGATCAAATATGAAACATCAAATTGCTTTTCTTTGTTGAAAATTATATTTCATGAAGAAATCTCAAGAATATTTGAAATTGTATAATTATCACATGCCAAACACTCTCATTTTTCCATCATAGTAGCTTTACAAATGGCATCAGTTTGGTATGTATCAGGAAGTAATATAAGTTGTCAACTGCCCTTATTTATTACAATATGACATCAGCCAAACTTTTTAGCACATATACATCCATATATATGTGTATATATATATATATATATATATATATATATATGTACACTGTGTATATATACAGACACCTAAAAGTGCATATAGTGTGTATAGTATATTATTTTTAATTAAAACATGAGTTTTCTTTGTACAAGTATAGCCAAGTGAGTATCCACTTCCATGTTCTAACACTGAATGAGCCATTAAATTGAAGTAGCATGCAGACTCTCGGAAGATAACAGAACTCATGGGAATCTCATGTGATCATATAGTAGCTGTAACTTCTGCACATGCCATGGATGCTAGTTCACATCCCTCGGGACTTTGGAAATCAATAGGAACAGTGGGCTTAGGGAGGGGCTGACATGAGACCCATCCTACAACAACGTTATTCATTTACAATTTAGGAAGTACCACTGTTAACACTCAGTCACCAAAATACTTTGGTATCATATTAAGAAATATAAAAGTTCTCCCTCTTGGATTAATTTGATCAAGAGGAAGCCAAGAGTTTATTTCTTCACTTCCCCTCACACCCCCTCAATCTTTCATCTGCTGTAGCCCAGCTGTGTTAGTGACCTGTCTCTGTTTTGAACCGTTTGAGTCAGAATCTATTCCTGTCAGCTGTGCCTGTCCTTAAGATTTTTCATTTCATTTCATTTCATTTCTTTTCCTTTTTTTTTAAACATATGAAGCTGTTTAATTAGGTTAATAGCAATTTAGAAAACCAGTTTGTGAGGATACATCCCGTTTGCCAGAGAGATCTGAAACTGCTGGTAGCCCTGAGGCTGAGGAACAGCTTTATTCTTTGGCAAAAGGTGCTAGTCCACGGTTTTCTGATCGGCCTTGCACTGCTCTGTAATCTCGTATTTCTCCTTCTCAGTGTTGAAGATCTCACCCTCCTGGTGCCTGGGCTTACACAACTGTTTCTTCTTGAAGTAAGCATCAGTCAGGTGTTTGGGGATATTAACTTTGCTGATATCAACTTTTGTAGAGATCGCGATGACAAATTTCTGGTGTGTTCTTCGCAGAGGAACTCTGTTGTGTGCAAGAGGTCCCATCACAAGTAGCAAGCCGCTGCCCAGCTGCTTCAGGAAAACCATCATGCTCTTGCCTCTGTGGCGCCCGGTGAGGATGATCAGGACTGTCCTGGGAGCGATGCTGGCACGAAGCTTTCTCACATGCTGACTGAAGGGCTTTTTGTCATGGCTCAGCACCTTCCAGGGAACATCTTCAGTAGGGTAATACCGGGGCATTTTCGAAGCTTAACCACCCAGGTACCACCATTCTTGTCACCACCAAATGGTTTGGTGACAGTAGCAAGGACCTTCTCATTTCTCTTCTTCTTTTTAACCTTAGTTTTTGCAGCTGGGTATTTTCTTTTGTACAGGGCCTTTTTGGAATACATAGCAGATCCAGAGTACCTGCCAATTCCTCTAACCAGGACATGGTTCCTACTGCAAAGCAGCTTCCCCTTCTTGGGCTTTTTAAGCTTTTAAACCTTAGGGTCACCCATTTTGGCTACAGCAGCAGCAGGGGCACTTGCAGCATCACCAGCAGCCTTCCTGGCTGAAGGTTCTCTCTCTCTCTCTCTCTCTCTCTCTCTCTCTCTCTCTCTCTCTCTCTCTCTCTCTCTCTTTTGGTCAGGCTACTCTGCTTTTTTACCCTCTATATTCCAAGATAGGAAAGAGAGCCCTTATGATTTTTCTTAACCAAGGTCTTGCTCTATATTTATTGAACAAAATAGAAAACATGACATGGAAAATTGATGAGGATATTTTTTTTGGAAAGGTTCAATGGATTTTTACAAGGAGAAAATTTACTTTACTGAACTGAACTATACTGAAAATTTGTTTTACCCAACTGAAATATAACTAGAAACATAACCAAAAACCAGATGTGATCAAGATCTATCTGGAGGATATTTGTTATGCATGTTAAGTTGCTTGCTTCAATCCTGTTGACTGTGTATTATTATCACAACACACACACACACACACACACACACACACACACTATTTTGGTTCAGAAAATAAAGCTATATATTGGGTTAAGGTGTAAAAACTGATTGAATGGGAGCTGCAGGGATTGCAATTTTTGTTGGTTTTGTTTGTTTTTTAATAGGTAAATTTGAAGCAATCTTTAATTAAACACTGGCCAGGTGGATGGTCTCTGACCAGGTCCATACTAAGGTTCCTGGGAAATGGCCCAGAATCACTTTGTAGTGGCTTACGAAGGAATACTCCTAATTCATTGCAGTTCTCATCAGGTCCAATCAGGGGCAGGCATACATCCTAATGTACCTCCAGCCTGTAAACCTCCTGCCCACGTGTGATCAATTACATGTGGTGCAAATGGGTCAAACAAACTTGTTTAGGGGAGTGAAAAACATGTGACTTGTTATCTCCCATAAACAACAGCCTCCAGCCTTTCAGGAACTGTCTGTCCTTAGGCAACTGGCTGGCAGATCGAAAGTATTTTTGTTTCATGGATCTCTAAGGCATAGCAATTAAACCTTAAAATGTAACATTGACTCTCACATTGCCCCCTTGAGTTGTATCCTGAGTCAAACTTTTGAGTCTGTGATTGGTACTTGTTTATATAGGAATCTAGTAACCATCAGCTTAATGGTACCCAGACATGAATTATCACTTAGTAAAGACATGAGTAATGTATGAACCACCAACAATTGGCAGAAGCAGAAGGGCCAAAGGCCCTGTAGTGACTGACAGAATTCCTACCTAGAAGTAAACGTGAAATGAGACTGTGGACCAATTATTTACTTCATCTATGACAGGGACCTTCCCTTTGATTTAACAGTCCAGCCTGTTGGGGAACAAGGAACATTCTACTGTTTCTATAAAGGAAAGTTAAACAGACTCAGTTCACAATTGGATCACAGGTAAATCTAATAATCTCAAATGATCTCAGGGGATTGTTAACTTGCTTTTAAGGTCCAGCAGAACTTCAGTCTCTTTGAATGCAAAAGTTATTTCCATAATATCCCATCACTAAAAAATACATACATGCACTATATATATATATATAAACATATATGTATATAATCACATTATTACTATTATATAAACATGTGACAGAATATGACAGAATCACCACTCTTTTGATGAGCACAAACTCAAGGAAAGAAAAGTAAAAGACATAAAGGAATAGATACATTGTAACACAAAAAATGGAGATAATATACCATATAATGTACATAAAAAGAGAGAAAGGACTGATGAGATGTATCAATGAAAAAAACATTCTGGAAACCAAGCTTGACAACATTAATTTGATCCTGGGCCCTACAAAATGAAAGTAGAAAACTTACTCCTTTATGTTGGCCTTTGGTCTGTACACACAAGCATGGTACATGCCATGCCTGTGAATATGTTTGCATACTGCCCATTCCCCACACACATTAAATTAATGCATACATATGAAAATTGGATGATGTTATGTTCAGGAAGCAGTCTCCTGTACCAATTAGTTCAAGGGCACCTCCCACTTTCTCTTCTAAGATGTTAGGTGTGCCTGGATTTATGTTGAGGTCTTAGTTCCATTTGGACTTAAGCTTTTTGCATGGCAATAGACATGGGTCTATCTGCAGTCTTCTACACACCATCATTCAGTTATGCCAGCACCATTCATTGAAGATGCTTTTTTTTTTCTATTGTATAATTTTAGCTTTGTAAAAAAAATCAGGTGTTTGTAGGTGTGTGGGTTAATATCAGGGTTTTCCATTCAATTCCATTGGTCTACCTGTCTATTTTTGTGCCAGTACCAAAGTGTCTTCAGGACTATAGCTCTATAATAGAGCTTGAAGTCACAGATGCTGATGCCTCCTGAAATTCCTTTATTATAGAGGGTTGTTTTGGCTATCCTAAAACTTTTGTTTTTCTATATAAAATTGAGTGTTGTTCTTTCAAGATCTGTGAAGAATTGTGCTGGGATATTGATGGGTATTGAATTGAATATTAGGTTGCTTTTGGCAAGACTGTCATTTTTACTATGTTGATCCTACCTATCCAAGAGCATGGGAGAGCTTCCCATTTTCTGGCATTTTATTTCTTTCTTTAAAGACTCAAAGTTCTTATCATATAGGTGTTTTACTTGTTTGGTTAGTATTAACCCCAAGATATTTTTCATTGATTGTGGCTATTGTAAAGGGTGATGTTTCTTTGAATGGATAGAGAAAATGTGGTACATTTACAAACTGGAGTACTTAATCAGAAAAAAAAAAAAACAATGGAATCTTCAAATTCACAGGCAAATAGATGGAACTATAAAGAAAGCATCCTGAATGAGGTGACGAAGTCACAAAAAAGACAAATACCGTATGTACTTATATTTATATGGATTTTAGACATAGAGCAAAGAATCACCAGCCTACAATCCACACACCCAGAAAAGCTATGAGACAAGGAGGACCCTAAGAGAGACATACATGGTCTCCCACAGAAGGGGAAAGGACATAATTTCCTAAGCAAATTGGGAGCATGCGGGGAGGAGAGAGGGAGTTATGAGGAAGCCAGGGGAGAAGTACACATGAGGGAGCAGGAAGATTGAGTCAGGGAAACAATAGAAGAGATCAAGAAAAGAGAGACCATAATAGAGGGAGCCATTATAGGTTTTAGGAGAAATCTGGTACTAGGGAAATATCCAGAGATCTACAAGGATGACCCCAACTAACAATCTAAGCAATAGTGGAGAGGCTACCTTAAATGTCCTTCTCCAATAATGAGATGGATGACTACCTTATGTGCCATCCTAGAGCCTTCATCTAGTAGCTGATAGAAGCAAAAGCAGACACCCACAACTAAACACTCAGTCAAACTCCTGGAATCCAGTTGCAGAGAGGGAGGAGTGATGAGCAAAGGGGTCAAGACCAGCCTGGAGAAACTTACAGAACCAGCTTACCTGAACAAGGGGGAAACCAGCATAGGATTGACCTAGACCCCATGAATATGAGTGTTAGTTAAGAGGACTAGTAAGTTTATAGGACCTCTGTTAGTGGATCATTATTTATCCCTAGCACACAAATGGACTTTGGGAGAACATTCCACATGGAGGGATATTCTCTTAGCCTTGACACATGGGGAAGGGCATGGACTACAAAAGATATGACAGACTTTGAAGACTATCCATGGAAGGCCTCGTGCTCCCTGTGGAGCAGAAAGGGTATGTGGTAGTGGTTGATTGGGGGAAGAGGGGAAGATGGGAGGGTACAGGAACTGGGACTGAAATGTAAAACAAGCTAGTTTCAAATTTAAATATATATATATATATATATATATATATATATATATATATACACACACACACACACACACATACATATACACACATATATATATACATATACATATATTTGCATATGTATTATATATATATACATATAATATATATATATGGATGGAACAGATGTTTTTTTGTTTGTTCTGTCTAGTACAGAGACATGAAAAAGAGAAATATAATCATGGAACTAACATAACCGAATGCATCTAGAGGTTTATGATAGGATAGAAATAAATTGTGGTTGGCCCATTCGAATACTTTTAAATGGCTTGTGCTTTAGCAAGATTCAAACACAAAACAAGAAACAAGAATGAGACTTAATACTAACAAATGAGACTTAACTGGAGAAGAAAAGGGAAGAAAATGAAAGAAAGAAAAGAACAGTCAGTTAATTATACTTGAAAATATATGGGCTGGAGAAGTGACTCAGCTTTGAAAGGCCAGGCTCACAACAACAAAATAAAATATATACAATATTTTAAATAAGGCAATCATGGGTACATCAATACAGTAAAATATTCAAGTATGAAGGCATCAAAAACTAAACTAATAGAATTTGTAGTTATTTTCAAATAATTGTGAAGGTACTAACATATCATCCTCATATAAAAACTATTAGCCAGTTATGTTTAGGAATTCAAAATTTTTCATGTTTTAAAAATCATTGTTTGAGGCGCTGGAGAGATGGCTCAGAGGTTAGGAGTTTGGGCTGCTCTTCCAGAAATTCTGAGTTGAATTCCCAGCAACTACATGATGGCTCACAACCACCTATCATTAGATCTGGTGCACTCTTCTGGCTTGCAGGCATACATGCAGGCAGAACTCTAATTACATAATAAATAAATTAAAAAAATACCTTTGTGGAATATGTAAACTATAATGTTATGGGAATGAAAGATTATTTAAATCTTCACTAAAATTTATTTAAATAGCTAAATGTGGTTAAGTTAAATATAATTAAATTAACTAAAAATACAACATATCATTAAAATTTAAATAAAATATAATGTAGAGCACTTATTATTT